GTGACAGCCATTTTAATGAAAGTATTCTTGAAATAGGCAGCTGAATTTGGCATAGAATCATTCCTAGAGATCTGAAAACATGCAAAAATATTTACAACAAATGATATTATTACTTATTTTTTTAAAATTCTTAACATTTAACTGTTTAAAGTGAAATTAGATGAAACTGGCAGCCATTTTGAATATCTAATTAGCAAAGTTTGGTGATGCATAAACACGCTTAACACTATCCTCGTTCCGTTATCAAGTGATGGTTTTATAGATTTTTCATTCTTTGGGGTCCAAGCCTCAATATATTATGATATATTGCACTATACAATAAGCTACAATAATTACTATACATTAATGCCTATACCCTATATTTACACACAACGGTCACAGATTTTGTATTGATTGGAAAAGTGTCCTCATTTTGGTCGAAATGAATAATGTTCAAAAATCTGTAACTCCACTTATGGCTTATCCCAAATGGTTGACCCCTCATTTTAATCCTATTTTTATGTACAAACAATCCATTGGTATCACTTCTGAAATGAAATATTTAACTTTAAAATTGCATGATTCTGCCTAGTAATAGGCTAGGCCCTAGCTAGGGGGGATACCAAGATGTGACCAGCTAGCAAGGTCTAGGCCTACTCCTCCTGGTTGGGCCAGGGCCTACTCTGGCTAGGGCCTATAGGCCTAGGTCCTCGTAGGCTAGGCTACATAGCCTAGATAGCCTCCATATATGGTCCATCATACATACGGAAGCAGGTCAACTCGGCCACAAGTCAACTTGGCCACAGTCAACTCAGCCACAAGTCAACTCGGCCACAAGTCAACTCGGCCGCAAATCAACTCGGCCACAAAAAGTTTGGATACAGTCAACTCGGCCATAAGTCAACTCGGCCATAAGTCAACTTGGCCACAAGTCAACTCAGCCACAAGTCAACTCAGCCACAAGTTATTTATAATAAATAACATGCAATATAGGCCTATATTAACTTTACGGATGTATGCCTAATTATAATGATTATTACTAGAAATTGCAATTGCAAGTGAAGTGCTGCGAAGTACAACTGCATATAAATGTTCTTCGAACAAAATTATTTATGCGATCGAGTCAAGTGAAAATAACGAATAATATAAATATAACAAATACTATGAGACACGACCCATTGTCTATATTAGAACAGCGTTGGTACCGTGTATAATAGTGTTTTTCTGCAGTGACATCTCGCTGCTGGCGACTCGCTGCTGCAGGCGATGACTCGCTGCTGGCGAATTGATCTGCGCATGTGTATAAAATGGTATTTTTTTCCGAAAACACTGTGTATGCCAGTCTACAACAAGCGTCGCCTAAATGTAATAATTAGCACGTTGAAATAGGCTAGTAGATAAGTTAACTGGGTTCGTAAATAATATTGGCCTCAAAATATTGTGGCTGAGACATGGGCCGATTAAACGTAGAAATAGGAAACCTAGAAATATAGTAAAAACGCTGAATAGTAATACTCCAGCGTCGCGACATGCGGACGTTGGTAAGAGTAGGTTAGTCTACAAACGTCGCCTAAAGTAATTGATTTTACCCGGCAGAACGAAAGAAGGAAACTCAGCTTTTCAGTTGTCTTAGGCCCTCGTTTTTTGACAAACAATGACCTTTCAGAGGTCAAATTGCTGTCAAGAATATGAATTGGCTGCTTCGCAGCAACAAGAAAATCTTACTGACGTCATGTGTTCGTCTTCTGTTTACTCACAACATTCTACTTCATCAATAATGTTAAACAACAATAACCACATAAATTAATAATATTTACTTTAATAATTATTAGTCATAATAACTATAATAAAGGTGATAACAACAATATTAATAGTAATATTTATTTTAACAATATTAATAGTATTTTTCTTTGCTTCTCCTTGGAAGTTATTTTGAATAAATCAATGAATGATTGAATAATACTAATTGATAATAATAACGATAATTAAATATCTATTTTAATAATACTTATTAGTGATAATAACGATATTGAAAGTGATAATAGCAATAATAACAACAATAATAAATTAAAGATAATGTTTTTTTTATAATAATAATAATAATAATACTAATTAGTAATAATAATGATGATACTTATAATACTAGGCCTACTTAGTAATAATAGGGTAATAATATCAATAATAAAGGTGACAACAACGATAATAATATGAGAAAAATACCAATAAAACATCAATAACAATTTTTTTTAAAATTACTATTATTGAAATAATAATACTAAGACTAATATATAATAATGATAATAATAATATGAATATGAATAATATGAATAAAAAAATCGATAATTATTTATTTATATGGTAACAATAATAATATCAGCAAAAATTTAAACAATAGCCTAAATAATGTTAATGCTAAGACTAATAACTAAAACTAACGGTAATAAAAACAATAATAATAACAACAATGACAACAATAACAATACTTAAAGAATTAGTATTTTATACGGTACTTCATGAATTACTCCTTCAAAGTGTAGTACCAGTAAATAGGCTGCAGTTGACTTGTGGCCGAGTTGACTTGTGGCCGAGTTGATTTGTAGCCGAGTTGACTTGTGGCCGAGTTGACTTATAGCCGAGTTGACTGTAGCCGAACTTTTTGTGGCCGAGTTGACTTGTGGCCGAGTTGGATCGAATTCATTCATACATAGGCCTAGCCTAGGCCTATATATATGAATTCGATCCAACTCGGCCACAAGTCAACTCGGCCAAAAAAGTTTGGCTACAGTCAACTCGGCCACAAGTCAACTCGGCCACAAGTCATCTCGGCCACAAATCAACTCGGACACAAGTCAACTCGGCCACAAGTCATTTATACTGGTACTACATTGTACTAATTGTTATTATTATTGCTGACATTGTTGTTGTCATTGTTGTTATTATTATTGTTGTTTTTATTACCGTTAGTTTTAATATTAATTATTAGTCTTAGCATTAACATTATATATTGTTCAAATTTTTGCTGATATTATTATTATTATTACAATATATTTTTTATTATTATTATTATTCATATTATTCTTATTATTAGTGTTAGTATTATAATTTTAATAATAGTAATTTAAAAAGTTGTTGTTATTGGCATTTTATTAGTATTTTTCTCATACGGTATTATTATTATTAATATTATTGTTGTTGTTGTTGTCACCTTTATTATCGATATTATTACCCTATTATTACTAAGTAGGCCTAGTATTATAATAAGTATCATTTAATTATTACTAATTAGTATTACTATTATAAAAATAAACATTATCTTTAATTTATTATTGTAGTATTATTGCTATTATCACCTTCAATATCGTTATTACTGTATCACTAATTAGTTATTAAAATTGATATTTAAATATCGTTATTATTACCATACTAGTATTATTACTATTTGTTAAAATAAATATTATTACTGTATTAATGTTGTTGTTGTTATTATCACCTTTATTATCGTCATAATGACTAATTAGTATTATTAATGTAAATATTACTAATTTATTGTCGTTATTGTTGTTTAATATTATTGAAGTACCGGTAGAATGTTGTGAGTAAACAGAAGACGAACACATTAATAAATAACTCTTTTTAATTCATAGGCAATAGCATTCAAATCTCTTTTGGTAGTGTGATGGTCCTGTTTTACTAAAACATACTGTGTACTTTATTTCAATCATATATTGAAGAAAAAGGATGCAAAAACTTAGATTTACATTAAATAACTTGTGGCCGAGTTGATTTGTGGCCGAGTTGACTGTAGCCAAACTTTTTGTGGCCGAGTTGATTTGTGGCCGAGTTGACTGTGGCCGAGTTGACCTGCACCCATATATACAGGTACACCTACATTTAAAGCTTATTAAAAGGATTTTTTCATCCCAGAGAATATAATGTAATGATTACTATTTACCTTACTTAAATTCTCTTTTGAAATAATACCACTTTTCCAACAATAATGTTGATTTTGATAGATTAAATAGCGCTCAAAATACACACAATCCAACATGGTTGCGGACGGCCAAAACTTTGTCTCAGACAGAGGGCGGCAAATCAGTGCTTACATACCGCCCTCTATAAAACCAGGAAGTAAGTGGCGGGCATGGTGGCGGGTTAAAATCAAAACAAATACAGTAAATAGAAAGTGACCGAAGAAGATAGACATGGAAACACATGCCTTTTTAAAACTTCAAAGAGAACTGAAATCCTTACGTGAGCAAGCTATCAAAGATAGCGCAAATCCAGAAGAAATTGATGAGACATTTAGCCAAGTATTTTCAGAACTAAGCGCAAAAACAGAGAGAAATAGGACGCTTACCATTTTTTTCGGAGTGACATTAACATTGATCAGTTGTTTAGCTGTCGCTGTGCAATTTCTAGTAACTTCCGTGTACGATGATCCATGTTTAATTTATATGCATGCTTTGCCAGAGGAACTAAGTAGGCCTATTGCAGACTGTTCTATGTGTAAAGACTTGACTACCGTCCCTCGATATGATTTTATAACAAAAGAAGAGTTTGAGCTAAAACACGCCTACACCAGCCAACCAGCCGTTATCGCCAAGGGTACAGAGAATTGGACGGCATCCAAAAACCTTACTTTTAGTTATTTGAAAGAGCTCTATTTAGCTACAGCTGACGTAGACAATATTCAGGGTGATTGTGCCTTCTTTGGATATCGTACCGATTTTGTCTCATTGAAGCATGCATTTGAAAGTATCACAACCGAAATGGAAAATGTGGAGCCGGGGTCACCAAACTGGTACATCGGATGGTGAGTCAAAATGCACGCCCCACCCCACAAAATCTACCCCTCCCCCAATCAGTGGTGGTGCCAGAAATTTGATAACAATTGAGGCCTGAAATGTCCGACAGAGAGGTCCGAGCCTAGGGGTTGACTAAGCCGATCGATCAACGGCCCGGAATAAAAAATCCCTTGGAGTATGTAGGGTTGAGGGAGAGTTATTATGGCTTAGAATGATCCAAAATGTGCTTTCTTTTTAGACCACAGTATTACTATATTAGGGATTGGCAGTTAAAATAACATTATTTGGATAGGCAAATTATTCTTTTTTAAATTTTTACCCAACAAGCAAGTCGTGCGTTGGACGCATGGGGGCATTACCACTGCCCCAGCCCCAGAGCCAAAATCTATTCCTCCCAACCCTACAGTCAAAATCCACCCAACCCCTAAATACTTTTAAATATATGGCAGTGGATATTTAGGTGGTAGAATGTCTGGTTTACACAGTTTTTTCATTTGTTTATTTTAATATTTATTGGCACTCACTTTCGAAAAAGGTTTTATCAGTTTTATATCCATTTAAATGTGCTATTCATTGTTTTAATTGAATGTTGTTTTTTTTTACCTGTTTTGATTCTGTGAAACAAATTGTAATATGTAACATTGCATTAGATACAATTTTAAAATTTAGGACCAAATTTCAAAAATTCAATTTAAATATATGAATATTCATTTTCTCTATCCACAGGAGCAACTGTGATGAAAACATTAGCAGTGTCATACACCAACTATCCAGCAAACCATATTTTTTGCCGGAGAGGTCAAGGCAATATAACACCTGGATATTTGCTGGCAGTCCTGGGGTCGGTGCAGGAATACACGTAAGCAGCTCAGTCCAGGTTGCTTAACAACAGTGCCCCTGACAATATAAATTGGCACACAAATCAGTTATTTTTTTTTTCTTGATTCACTCTTCCTTATAGTGTTCCACACTTTTAAATGATCACTTAATTTAGAAATTGTAATATGAATTTTTGGCACACAAATCAGTCCTTTGTTTGTTTTTTTATTGATTCACTCTGTTAATAGTGTTACACTCTTTTAAATGTTCTTTTTTTTAAATGAATTTTCTCTTTTACTTATTTATTACTGTATTATAATTAGGCACAGTGGTGACTACGGAAATTTGCTCAATCAATCAATCAATCAACATTTTCAACAAGTGGTCCAAACTAAGGGGCCATCTAGATCTGTGTCGGTGACCCAGAATAAGATCCTTGGTGGATTATGTTAATTGATTGTAGTCATTTTTGTATTGTTCCTATATAAACATGTCAACATCTTTATTCTGTATTAAATTTCTTCATGTTTTTGTTGGTTTTCATTTTCCCTCCAGATAGATACTGTTGACTTGCCATCATGGCAGGCTCAGATTTTGGGGCGCAAGACTTGGACCCTTACTCCACCTCCAGAATGTGAACATATTTGTCAGACAATTAATGCCACATTAAACCAAGGAGACATTAGTAAGAACATTATATTGTTGTCTGTGTGTCATACATAAACAAAAACAATACCAATTATAATTTACAGTAGGCCTATAGTTTTTCAGTTTCAGTTTATTCATTTTATCCACACATAAAAATATACAGTAAAGAGTAAAACATTAGAAAAAAGCAATTAATTAATTAAAAGCAATTAATTAATTAAAACAAAAGTGTGGAAGGTAGTGCAGTATGATAAATAAATTTTAACCAGATTATGTAGAATTTGTAAGTTCATGTACGTTTGCACTCAATATTTTGTGTATTGTTTAAATAACACATTCTAGCACATTATTTGCTGAAATTTTATGTTCTTTTTCAGTTGTGGTCAACACTAACCAATGGTATCACTCTACTACAATCCATGAGGGCAGTATAAGCCTTAGCATTGGGTCAGAATATGACTAATCTTTTTGGCAACTATTGCATGAGCTTCAATTTGAATATTTAAAAAAATAGTGGCAGACGAGTTTAACTTTTTGTTAGTTTACATATGGCCTTTCACTGGTAGTCAGTAGGTAGTTTTCGCCGCACGACCTTAACGGATGACGTCATAATTTATTCATCTTGTTTTGCGGAGTACGTTAATTTCAGGATTTTACGTGCTCAGCATACATTAGTTACGGGTTTGTTTAAAGTTAAGGTTAACGTCGTGCAGCGAAAACTACCTATTACCAGCTTGTGTGAACAGTGGCGTATTAAAGTCTTGAAATGGAAGTGCTGGTGGTAGAGAGCAAAGGTGGAGTGTGGGCTGGATGGTTAAGTGAGGGGTCGATGGTTAAGTGAGGGGTCAATAATTAAGTGAGGGGTGTTAGATTGCAAAATACGATGATGAGGTTATTTTTTACTACTTAAGCATGATTTTTGCTTCAGACATTTTCAATCATGGAGACTGGGGGTGGAGTGGTGCAAGCCTTTAATTTGCTAGATTGGCTGGTAATCAACTTAAGGATTTTCATAGTAAAAATTGTGCAAATGAATTGTTTTGGTACATGCCTATTTGTATTTGATAAGTCCTAAAACAAAAAAAAATATTATATTGGCGTAACCCGACAGACCCTAAAAAATTTGGCTGACCCTAGACATTTTTATTTAAATTTCACGATACAAGTTTATGTGAGCAAAGTGGCTGTTAGGTCGGGCGTCACTCATAGTGTTTCAAAAGTGGTCCAAGTGCAAAAAATATTACAATATGGGCTGTAAAGACTTATTTAATTGATTTTATTGATTTCAGGGACTTTGCTGAATATTGTGGAAGTAAAAAAGAAAAAGAAAAAAAAACCCTACCTACCTACCCTATTTTTGGGGGCCTGTTACGCCAACATAACATTTTTTTATTTTAGGCCTAACTTTGATCCTTCTAAGTGATCTACTTTACTGTAAGACAGTACAGTATACGGTATAACTATTTATAATTATGTATATTATTTTAGGTAATGGACCTTTCTCGAGTGACAATCAAACCATAAAATTAATAATCAGGGTAGGCCATGGAATATGCACCAATCCTCACATGTCATCTGATGTTTTCAAAATTGTTGTATGGAGTCATTTCAGCTCAAATCAACCACCATGCCCCTGTGACCCGCCTTGGATTTTCCTTTAAAAAAATTCTAAAAATACCTTTCTATGTCCAAAGAAAGATTCCAAAATTTCAGCAATAAGTTATGACCTTTTGAAGTTAGGTACCACGCCCCCTTTTTCCTTCCAGTAATGGCTCATTTGACCTTGGACAGTTTTTACGAAGCTATATCTTCTGGAATAACGAAGATAAAAAGTTGTGAATTGCTACCATGTTGCTTTATAGTCTGATATTTGTCCCCTTTTTCAAGAAATACCATTCAAATTTTGGTAGCTTATGTTATTACTTCTAGAATGTTAGATGCCCCCAAAAATCCCCTAAAGCATTGGGCAAACATAGATTTTTCGTAGGGCCGTATCTTATCATTCTTTTAAGTAAGGAAGTTAAAATTAAACATATGATGAATATGCTCATATTACTATATATATAAAAATATGCAAGGTAATTAGAGCAATAATGAAGGTATGATGGGGTCCCGAACATGGTTGCAGAACCAGTGACCCTAAAAACACCCCCTACTTTGACCAACCGGATGACCCTGTTGACACATAATATTAACTGTGAAATTTATACCAGTGTACAGATACACATATCATCATTGTAAGTACTCCTTCAGTGTGAATTGATTTTTATGAGGGTATTTTTAGGGTCAATGTTTCTGCAACCATGTTCTGAACCCCATCATACCTTCATTTTTGCTCTAACTACCTTGCCAACATTTATATATGTAGTAGTATGGGCATATGCATTACATGATTGATTTTAACTTTCTTTTACTTAAAAGAATAAAAAGATACGTCCCTCAGAAATAGCCAAAAAATCTATTTTCGCACAAGGGTTCGGGGGATCTTTAGGGGAATATAACATTCTAATAGAATATGCTACCCAAATTTGAGTGGTATTTCTGATTTGTCAGATTTTTAATTTGATTTACATTCCAGGAAAGTCACTTGTCATTAGATAGAACTAGTTGAAAGTGTGGTGTGTGCACAGTAATTGGTAGAATTCTTCTTTTCCATTGTAGTTGAGGTTGGAAACTGCAAAATAAATTAAAAGAACTGACACTTATTAAAATTTGTTTTCTTACTAAAATTTTTGTTATATTTTTATTAAGAGTGCCAAGAAGATTGGATAAGGAAAATACAGCACATGAATATGAAGGTCATTAAAGAAAGAATATACAGTAGTGTACATAAAATGAGAACTTGATGCAGACTCAACTGCAAAGTTAAAAAGTATATCACAAAGAATATATGAAAACTAGAATTAAAGCAGACTCAAGTGCAAATATTCAGTAGCATAACACCTATGCACTCTCGTGGGGTGGTCCGCAGGGCTCCAGAATCCTAGGGGCCCCAAAGGGGCCCTAACCATGGGGTCCTCAATCTAGCACCCTGACCCAACAGCATAAAGTGTCTGACATTGACTGTAGGACATATATCACATTATAGCCAGTGACGGATTAAGTCTAAATTAGTCAAAATTTTAAAAAGTAGAGGCAAAAAGAAAATTATATTCAAATTTTAAGTCTTCGAGTGCCATTTCCAGCCATCTAGAGGTGCCATAATCATGGGTGATACAGACCCTCTATCTGTGAAAGTACCTCCCTGGGCCCCTCTATTTCAAATTGCTAGTAGATTCCGCCACTGATATATCATTTATTTCGTTGTTAAAATCATTTATATGATACAATGACAATCATAATTAAAAAAACACAATGGAATTGGCGACCAGGTCCGAAAAAAGGCTCCAGTCTTAGAAAGTCACAGGGCCCCTGGCCCCAGCGTTACGTCACTGCAAATATATAAAGGACAAGGTAGAGAAAGTGGATAAATAGTCTCCCTAAAATGTTTCTTTTCTCAGAGTACAGCTGTTTGTTATTACACTTAGTTTCTGTTTTTCTTTGAAATGTATGTTTTGTAAGGCGTGCTGTTCCTCCTGGAGCACTGTATAAGCAAAAAACATGAGATGCAGACTTAGCAGCACAGATAAGAATAAAGAACATTGGATTGAGCAAAGGGAATTATATGTTAATGCCCTGCCCCCCCCCCAAGACCCCCAGGGTGTCTGCCCCTGATGATTATTGATGTCTGATATTTGGTTGATACACTTATGCTTTTCTCTTCATGACATTCTTTCCTCTTCCTTGTTGTGTTCTTTCTGTAATATCTAGTGCAAAAACAAATTATTTAAGATATATATTTCGGTATATTTTGGAGATTCAATTTACAATATGTCGTACGTAAGGTAAGTAATATTCAAATAAAAAAATATGTAATTCACAATGAAAATTTTAAAAAAAGCTATACGATATTAATTAAAGTCAATATTATTTATGGGCAAAATTTAAGATTTTCAAATTTTAATAATTAAAAATAAATACAGAGATTAAAATGTTTTGATATATTGCACTTACCGTGGTTTCTCAGTTAAACAACACATCAGCATACGTCTGTGCCAGCCTTCTGTTCTACAACAACAGAAAAGAAAAAAAAAGACTTGCCTATGCTCCTCCTATTTCTTCTATTCCTTTATTGGTCAATTCTGATATTCTCTTCTGATATTTAAATTTACTAGAGCTTGGTTCTCACGAGAGCCCTAGTATCCGGATCGGCAGCTAACCATTAGCACCTGCATCAGAACGCCCGATCAGGAATAAGTATAGTCAATAGATTAGTTTCGCATACGTTTTTTTTTCTTATCTGTTACGTTTCCATTTACCATATGTTCTGATCATATTTATAATAATATTATAAAGGAAATATGTGTTTTCATATTTATATTTTCCATATAAAATTATTAATAAATTTATAATTGCATGCTGTACGTTTTAAAAGCCATTTCATGCTTCTTTTATATTCATAAGCCTGAGAAAATCACTCAACTTGCTAGGCCTATTTCTTTAGTTGTATAACTAGAATTGTGGAATAAACGTTTCCACAAATTGATTCCCATTGTACTCTTAAGGCGAAGCTGACACAAGGTTTGTGATTTCTTGTTTGTTTTATTTCCATTTTCAATATTTTACTGCCAAGACAGAAGTAGGTGGATGCTAAAATAGATGACTAGCTGTTTCTAGGTACAAACACGTGCGCTGGAGCGCAGTTCACCATTTCACGTGTTTTCACGTCACCTACTTCATGAAACCTGTAACTTTGAATCGTCTGCGCTGGCTGCTGATCATGTTTATAAAATACAAAAATAAATGGATAGTAAAATATATATTTGTTAGGCCTATATGATTTCATGTGTAATGTAAATAAATATGTATAATTATATATAATATTATATATGTATAAATATATATATGTATTTATTTATTTATTTATTTATTCAGGTATAAAAAGACTCAAAATACAATTCAAGATTGGAATGAAGAGCTTACATAAAATCAATGAAGAAAAATACAGAAATATAAAACCAGCAATAAATATTTGAGAAAAATTTCAAATTACAAAAAAAAATTTAATTATTTATTATTTACAATTAATATTAAAATATCAATCAGCATAAATTGATTAATTAAATCAATTAATTAGAATTTTTAAGTTATTAATATATACAAATTTCATTGAACACGGTTAACAGTCATAGCCCTATTCAAACAATTACATTACACATTAAAAAATCAATAAACAAAATAAAACCAGTTCAATTCAGGAAGTACATTGCCAATTATCCAAATTAATCTTTATTTAACAGTCCAATAACACTTGGAATAGTTGACTTGGCAAATCTTTTTGTTCGACAGCAGGGTACAAAATACCGATTAACCTTTCGAAGTGATCTTACTGGTTCTTCTCTTACTGGGATCCATTCCTTAAAGCGTTCTGATGATAGGAGATTCTTTCCATAATTTAGGAGATTAATAATTCATCTCTGATGCAACGTACTTAAATTCAGCACATCAAGAGAATTCGCATAACTATCATAATTCTGATATCCAATTATAATTTTAACTGCTCGTTTTTGAACAAATTCGAGCTCATCACTCTGTTTTTTTGTAATTGAAGAATGCCAAAGAGAACTGGCATATTCTAAAATGGGACGAATATACATATTAAAGGTAAAAATAAGATCATCAGTTGAGGCTCCATATCGCTTCAAAATATGCAACATATAAAGCCTACGTGATGCCTTAGACACAACTTCCTTAATTTGCATGTCCCACTTGAGGTCACTTTGAAGATGGACGCCAAGAAGTTTTACACTTTGTGATTCCTCAAGATAACAACACCATTCATTTGAAGTGGCTCAAATTATGGCACATTTCGCAGGAAGTGGATGCGCATCACTTGAAACTTTGAAGGATTCGGCGTTGTATCATTCTCAATACACCAGCTTGCAAGATCATTGAGATTATTTTGCATTATACTATTCTCAGGATTTTTCACAGAAATGACTTCGCCAATCGTTAGGTCATCCACGAACTTCCATCTATCCGGCACATGTTTCAGCAGATCATTAACCATGATGGTGAACAGTATTGGGCCTAATTTAGTGCCCTGTGGCACACCACATGTGACTGGTTCTGGCGCTGAAACAGCCCCACCTAACCTCACACAATGATTTCTTTGGGTAAGGAAGCTACATAACGTTGGGATAATAGAAGGCATGATGTTTAGATAAATTAGATTATTGACCAAAATAGAATGATTGACTCGGTCAAATGTTTTACTAAAGTCTATGGCACATATAGTACCATAAGTTCCCAGACTATCCGTTCTCGACAGCAACCTATTACAAAGCTGAACAAGATAATGGGTTGGCGATGAACCTTTAGCATTCCCAAACTCTTGGGTATCCATGTGAGGCTTAAAATCCCTAGCTATCCAATCAAAAAGGAAAGCTTCAAAGATCCTACCAAAGATCGGTGTAATGGATATTGGCCTATGGCCATCTGGAATAGAAGCCTTAGGTTTTTTAGGAACAGGGGTAATTATGGCATTTTTCCAGATAAAAGGGAATATGGAATTTCTGAGACAGCAATTAAATATTCTGCGCAGAGGGGGAGCAAGCTCCAAAGAAAATTCTTCGATTAAACGAAGCAGTATATCTTGAGGATGACAAGATTTATGAACATTAATCACCTTTAAAAGTTTGTAAACTTGCCCAGGGTATATAAGTGGGGGCTTAAATGTGGGAAGAAAGGCTGGTAATTTTTGCAGATTAAGTGCCGGTAAGTATGAACAAATACTAGCAAAATGCTTATTAACAACATTAGCAACAACATTAGAGTCAAAACCAGGCTCAAGTAATAAAGATTTGTGTTTTGATTGTCCAGAGATTTTCTGTATTTTTTGTGCCACTTACGAGGCTCATTTTTCTTTAGAGAAGCAATAGATTTTTCATAGAAAAAGGATTTGGCCAATTTAATCTCATAACGTACTAACCTTCTGTAATATCAATATAGCAAATCATTACCTTTTCTGTAGGCACGATGTCTTTTATCAATGTATTTTTTTATACGTTGATTAAACCAGGACTTGTCACTTTCCTTAACGCGAACAAATACTGTCTGGAAAGAATCTGTATAGGTATCCCTTAATACAATTTCCAATTTACCAGCGAGGTACTCAGGATCATTTCTGTTTAATGGAAT